CCATAAGTCGAAACTAGTTTTGATTTTTGACTATTGACTTTTGATTTAGTTTTGACATATAACTTTTAATTTTAATTTTGATTTTCGCCTCTTCAAAATAGTTTTGGCAATCAACACTAGTGAGGATAAAAAAAAACAACAACTTCAAGATGCACAATTATTTTTAAAACAACAACATCGATTACAAATAGGACAACTACAAATAAGTGGTGTTAGACAAAAAAAAAATAAACAAAAATCTGTTTCTGCTTCTAATAATTCAATGTTAGAAATCAAAACATCAGATGGAAATTCATTAATTTTTTTAGATCCTGAAGAACCACATGTTCAATTCTTTGATGTCATCCAAGCAAATAATACAAGGTGGAATAGCACTTTGTATTGCTTTGAACGTTTAATTTATTTAAAAAATGCAATTCAAACACTCATGACAACATTATCAAATGAATCAAATTATGCCAATGTAAGGCGAAGAGGTGCACATTTATCAGAATTATATCTGGATGCAGATGAGTGGGAATTAATCTCACAATTGGTTAGAATTTTATATCCTTATGAAGTAGTAACAAAATTAGTGTGCACATCTAATTATTGCTCTGCGGATTTGGTGTATCCTACAATATACGAATTAATCAAAAAGTCACATGAAATTTTAAATATGATTCAGAATCCTGAAGCAGTAAAAATTGGAAAAATTATATTAGAGGATTCAGAAATGAGGTGGCCTTCACCTAACAATGCTCTTGTTTTTGCATCATTTTTTGATTTAAGATTCAAAAATTTGAGTAGTTATCAAAGAGCGAGTTTTCTATAAATTTATAAATTTAAAATTTCTTTGTTGTATTTACTTTTAATTTATTATTAATACATGCCTCTAATAGAATTTAAAATCATATATGAAGAAATAAAATATTCTACCACATCATCACCCAATTTTACACAGCCTGTACAAGCAATTAATAAAAATTCTGCAATGGCCTCCTTTTTTTCAGTATCAACTAGAGAAATAGCCGAATTAGACAGAGATGAATTTGAATCATATAAAAACATACCCCAAGTGCTTCCTGTTGAAGAAAATGAAATTATAGGAAAAGGTCCTAATGGAACTCTTAGTTTGATCTTTGATGGAATTAAGAAATTGAATAAAGGTGAAAAGCATTTAAAGATTACTTGTGATAGTGCTGGTGGACAAAATAAAAATAATGTGACTATTTGATTTTATTTATATTTAGTAATTTGTGGATATTATGAAATTGTTGAATTGAATTTCATGATTCCAGGACATACCAAATTCAAGTGTGATGGTAGTTTTGGCTTGATTAAAAAACTCTATAGAAGAACAAGAGTAGATTGTGTGGGCCATGTTGTAGAAGTCATCAAAAGATCTAGTCCAGCAGGATTGAATAAAACTCAATGTTATGAAGGTGGAAAAGGTTTTCAATATTTAGATCTTAAAGCTATTTTGGGAATTTATTTTAAGAAACTAAATGGTTTACAAAAGTATCAACATTTTCTTTTTGAAGCATCT